TCTCCCCTTCTGCAGGTATTTTCTGATATCTGCACTTACTGACAAGACAGACAAAAAGAAAGCCTCTCACAGCAGGTATGGAAAAAGACTTAGAACTTAGTCTGTAGCTTCTCGAGCAAATGACATCTCACAGAGAGAACATGATGGCCACATCACTTCATCCATGTATAATATGAGGAAAAACTTTGCAACTTCTATAGGGAAAGAAATTTTAGATTCACTCTCTCCCAAACAAAACAAACAAACAGATGAAAAGAGGCTGCAGTAGTAAAACGTGTTTGTCCTTCACTCACAGAAGAACTGAGAAGCGTGGAAACAGCAGCAGGAAACCCCTGCTATCTGCAAATACAGTATGCCACAACAGTCCAGAGCAGATCTGCACGTAAGGTAAACGATCTGCTTCCTACATTTCAAAAAGGCAACGCAGTCAGTGTAAAGAGAAAGCTTGCATTCCATCCCACTAGATTGCATTCTGACATCCAGCAAGACTATTTCAGGCACCATGGGAAGAACTAAAACCTAATCACTCCTTTTTGTCAAGTATTATTCAAGTGAGAACTACTAAATTACTAGTATTTTCAACAGACAGAACAAAATATATGCACAATATTTGGCAAAACCGGGATGCCAAAAAGTAGGTGAGATTTTGTAGGTAGCCTAATACACTGGCATCTACCAATATGCTGAATTTATTCACTGCTAACACTTCCCCATGCAGCACAAAGACAAGAATTTTACAGGCTGGTAACGACGGAGCTGTGAAGCAGCCTACACCACTACTTTTCACAGCATATTCTAAGCAATTCTCTCACTTGGCCCTAAAATAGAATGGAACTGTCTCCAGATTACCACTTTCCCAGTTGTCAGTTCAACATACCAGTAAACCAGTTATGGAAAATCAGACAGAACCAAAATACCTTAAAAGAAAAATTTAGAATGGTGAATGATGTACGTGGAAGTACATTAATTCCCAGTTTGTCCAAATAGTTAATCCAGCACTGCCTACTCCCTATTTTTTTCTGCCTGCCCTTACCATCACTCAAATAAATAAGCAAAGAAAGAAAAATTAGGGTTTTAGATTAGTTGACTGAAGATTTTGACAGTGAGTATAAACTTAAGCCCTTGCAACATATTCTAGCTTTTCTTGTCACTAAGGCTAAAATTAAAGCGTGCTTTAAATGTACATTAGAAAACAGTGATCATCTTCAGATAATCTTTTTAAACTTCAAGTAGCAAATTCAAGTAGCACATTTTGTATAAAATAGACTTTTCTCTACTTAAAATTTTCAAGTAATTTACTGAAATGTCTTAGCAATTTCATCATCAATAACCTTTATAATAGTAATACCTATGGAAAACTCTCTTGCTAAACGGAAATGGAGCCACCTAAGCCAGACATGCAATAAATAATTCAGTTTTCAACATTAAAATCTCACGTACTACACTTGTGTTTTTAAAATGTACAGATATAAAATGTAGACATTTAACCTATTCTTTTACACAGGGCATTTTTTCTATGGATTGCTAACAGTTATTTTGATTCTGCTCTTGGTAATTTTTACGATAAACTGAACCTGCATTTCACGCATTTATTCTGACAACACAAGATAGTACAGCAACACATACCCAAAATTACTGCCAACAGGGCACTCGCCCTGCACTCAGGTGGTCAGATGGATCTTTCTCACTCACGTGACATCCCACTGACTTCACTGTTTATCTGGACATAAGGGTTCCCCTGTGGGAATCAAATGGCTAAATTCGGATATGAACCAAGGGCAGGACAAGAAGGCTTTTCCTGGATTGCCACATAGTGTTCTATGGCATTTGTTTGCTCTCACCTGCCAAGGAAACAGTATGGGAGTTGTAATACGAAGTAGGTCTTGCTGCCCACAGCACACACAGTTGCTGGATGGCTGTATCTGCTTCCCTCCTCACAGCAGCCTTGCTGAAAACCCACAAAGCTGCCAGTGCCTCTTTCATGCCAAGTCAGAAAACACCTCTCCAACCATGAGGCATAATGCTATTTATTTACTGTTTGCTCTTTCAAGTGATTTTTCCTCCTACAGTTTACCAAAGAGGAGGAACAGAAAAATAAAATACATTTATTTTTCTCACTAATAATAAAAATAACTCTAATAAACAACTTTCTTGGAAACTTTTTTACTTGCTCATTTGCAAGTATCATATTTAGCATGATTTGACACATTTGTTGTATCAGTTACTTTTAACAAATACATTCTCTGTCCAAGAACATATACATTCCATTTTCTTAATCTCAATGAAATACACGGCCTCAGTAGAAATACAAATCCTCTGATATAATAATATACGCAACTGGGTAAATAGGCGTTGTTTATCAGAAGTGTTTCTAGAGATGTATCCAAAATATCTGCCCTTTCTCAGCTGTGTAAGTTTCACTTTCTCTAGCATCTCTAACCAGATGCTGTAACAAACACAAGCAGAAGATGTAGGATGAAGCTCAGCAATGAATTTACAAGCAGAGGCTGGCCAAAGCTGCATACATTTTGCAAATGTAAAATCATATGCAGAGCTTAAGAGTGTAGAAGCTTTAAACACTAGCTGTCCTTTGCGGAGATCTGTCATGTAACACTAAAGGCCAAAAAAGCAAAAAAACAAAAACCCCAACAAAACAAAACAAAACAACAACAACAACAAAACAAAAAAAAACAAACCACCAAAACAACAGGAAAAACAAAACAAAATTCCCCAAATATCTGTAAAGTTTCTGGGCTGATTTTATACGCAGTCTACACGTAAATGCAGTTGGAAGTCATGGGGAATCCCAAATGAGAAATTCTTCCCAATTTCTGCAGAAATCCAGGCAAAGAAATAAATTTCAAGTTTATATGTTAAAACCTAAAAATACCTCACAGTCATGGCTCTCGACATGCAACCCAATGAAAACATCTGCATAACAACCTTATCAAGATACTTAAATCCATCAGAGTTCTGAAAATTATGCAATTATGCTGAGAAGTGGATGATCAAGGTATGTCTGTAAAGCGTCCTTTGCACCATGTTGTTTTGGACAGTTGGATTAAGATTTTGGAAACTCGTTTACTTTAAAAAATAAACAAATATTCACATACGTAAAGCTGAATGCACGTACCACTAATGTAGATAAAAACTTGGGCTGAGAGAAACCATTTAGCATTCCAGTGTACCCCCTAAGATTACACATTTTTGTTTTCCAAAACTCAGCATTCAGGTGCTAGGTTGGGGGGTCAGGGTGTGGGTGAAAAGAAGAAAGACTACATGAGAAACTGTATGAAGAAAATGTTTCATCCAAACCCTTTAAAAGTACCAAATTCTTTATAGCACAGTTTCTATTGCTTTACTGTTTTAGACCTGTGCTTAACAGAGTAATGTAGACCTGGATATAACCTCCAAAGGAAAGAAAAAAGGATTTGAAATAAGGCATCCCGAATTTTCAAAGGGCCCTTTCTTCTAATCTATCTGCTTGGATAATGCGCCCAGAGTGGCATTTTGTAATGACAGCAACTTTCCAACAAATCAATAGTTATTTAATTCCCAACAAGCTCTTGAGTCCATTAAACCTGATTACATTCACCCATTTCAGTTGGGTGCAGTTATTTTTCCTACACCAGCACTTAATCTATAACAGGAACTTATGAGAACTTTCAAAAGCAATTTCAACATCAATCAGTATAGAGTGAAAGGCACGATTTGCTTGTAATTATTTATTGGACAGGATGGCAAAGGGCCTGACTGAGCTCTGGTGTCCGACCTTCACCCCCAAATTCTAATGGATATTAAGGCCTGCTTGATGTGTTTATGTGTGCTACTGGGTCTCACTATATTAAAAAAAACAACAACAACAACAAAAACATTATCAGCTTGCATGCGCCAGCAGACATTTTTTCAATACTTGATAATAGCCACTGTGCAATGCTATTTTTCTTTTTTAGACATATATGTCTGATATGAAGACTGAAATGAAGAATAATTCATGATCTTGGAATGCCAAATGGACCTATACAAAAAAAAAAAAAAAAACTGTTTCATGTTTTGATTTCACCTCTACACCTACCAACTATTATTGTAGCAAAGGAGCACAACAAAAATTTTAAACAAAAGCCTCTCCTCCAAAGTTAATTTGACTGACTGCTACCAAGACACAGAAATGCAGCACCATACAGTATTGTCTCTCGAGCCTTTTTATACATAGCAGCCATAATTCCCACCTATAGGAGACATTTGGGAAATGCTTGAAAATTTTACTCGAATTCTCTCTTAGAATATTTACTACTAAAAACAATGGAATAGCTTTTGCTTTATTAATGCTTACACGATCTATAAAAATCTTAAGTCTAACAACAGAAAATTCCACTTTTTGATAAAATCATTATAAAAACAGACATCACAGCAACAGTAAGTACATCCAGTAACTGCCAGTTAACTTCTAAAACATAAAACTCTCACAAGCAGGATTTTGCACTCTCTTGGCTCAAAAGTAACACAGGTAGTCTACGATATATTTTTACATACACAAAACCCCACAAACCCCTCTTCATTCAGCAAGATGCATAACATATTAATTAATGCTTATTTAACACTATACATACATGCTGTGCTAAAACACTTAACCTAAACACATCACGGTAAGTTACTTTGTCTTATGATCTGCCGTGGGAATGCTGAGTCCCTCAGAAACGCAGAAGGGATAGCAAATCCTCTGCCCTGTGGTCAACCTCGTGAAGCAAAGGCATGAATGTTAAATAGCAGACAAATCAATAGAAGCAAATATAGCTCAACTACACCATTTATTCAGCCATGAGAGATGTCAATACACAGATTAGGGTGATCCATCTTTTTGATTTCCTACTGTCTTCTCACCGAATACATGAGAGCTTTTGCTTGTATTAAAAGTGTTTGCTTTCTCAACCATAAAAATTCCAATTATTACTCTAAGTGCACTAGAGTTAAGTTGCTTGTTGGAAGCGGCCTTGCATTACCTGAACAAGTCCAGCGAAGTATGGTGCTGCCGGCAGAATCATTGGCACTCCATATGGATGTAGCAAAACTCCTTGAGACGACAACATGGTTTAAGTGATAGTATTACTCCCACTAAAGCTAAACACATCAATTGAAAGTTAGGGGAAAATCTATATACCAACTTCTTCCAAACTCAGAGCTAGAACCAAATAACTTCTGTCAGGGGCAAAGCCCACATCAGCTGTAAAAAAAAGAAAAAAATTGACGTCAGCAACTGTTAATGTTAAATTTTTCTTCAGAGACAACAGATAGAGACAACAGCTGCAAAGCTAACTCTACCAAAAAAGGAAGGTGCTATTTTGGGACCAGCTTAAATAACATGACTAACCAACTACTCTTTATCAGTTCAGATTAAGTAATAAACACATACAGTTCAAACTCCCCAACCTGGATTTCAAACAGGATTAGAACTAATAATGATATATGAATTGATATATATATGACAACAGTCGCTATCAGAAGCTTAAAAAAAAAAAAAAAAAAAAAAAAGATTATGATTGTGCAAATTACTGCTTCTTTGTATTTATTAACTGTTCGACAATATTCATGTGAGAGTTGAAACTGAAGCCTGTTACATTTTGTACATATTGTTTTGATTCATTGTATTTTTCTTGCTTATTTTGACTACTAGAACTAGCTATCGCTAGCTAACAACTTCTTAGTGTACATTATATTTTAACGGCTTTTCTAACCTTTCACAACATCTATGTTGTTGCATTTATCACAGCTTTTTGAAAAAGACGAATTTGACCTTTAGAGAATTTCATTCTGTTCTCCAATTAAACTCAGACTCAGTGTAAGAGACAAAAGGGATGAATTCAGCCTGATTTTTTTTTCCCTAAGCAAAACAGATCTACTGCTCAATGCACTATTTGCAAATAATTCTCTTCTACACCTAATCATTTTTACTTCAGACAAAACAAACAGTCATTAACATTCGTTACGTATGCAGTATATATCCTCAATTGCAGATATAAATTAATGACAAGAATTAAAATTGAGCAAGGTATTTTTAATTTAATTAAGAATCAAGTGTTTAAAACTTCATGTTACAAGTTAGGAAAGTATTTGTCATCCTCTCCTACAGTTTCTGAATAACCAGGGTGCTCTACATCACTAACTTAAGCTACTCGATTTTGTTGCATAATTACTTTTCCAGATAACTAATTGCAGACAAGATTTGATGTGATATTCAATTATTTAATGTCACATTTTGACCATCAGGAAAGGTTTTCAGTAATTGATTCTCATGTATCACAGCAGCTGTATTGTGTGATTTAGAAATCTAACTTAGCAGGTGCATGTTGACCCTTGTTACTAACAGCCTTACACCATTTCTAACTTTAGATGTTAAACAGTGACCCTGTATGAGGCTTTTCTTAGAGGCTGCCAATGAGCACAGCAATTGTCATGTGATGATGCGATGTTTACCTAGGTCCATTTTCTTTTTATAGAGTGGCTTCACGTTTCTGTTGGGGATAATGCTGTTCACCTCACTATGCTCAGCTGCTATTTATTTTTTCTTATTGAGAAATCAGTAGTTTAAATTATTAAGCAAACTCTAACCTGGCATTTTTTGCCAAAAGATTATCAGAAATTTAAATACAATACCAGTTATAATCTTTCATACAGAAATACAGAAAAAATGTCATACAGAAATATATCAACAAAATACATATGTGAGAAAGTGCACTGTCATTGCAACTCATTTAAAATTATTTCACTTCTTAAAGTATACGCTTCAATTTTAACCATTACCTTTTGCTTGGTCTAACAGTTAGCTGCACTTGAAAAGAAAGTTTCTTTCACCTTGCAACAGAGATTATAAAATAGGGTTTGCAAACTTTATTTAAATTATTCCAACAGGACAACTGACATAACCACAGATAGGTGAGTTGCTCTGTAAAAACCAGTTTTTGTTTCAATACATTTGTAATTGATCTGATAGAAAACCAAAAGAGCAAGATGATTCGTATAGGAAAAAAAGCAGGCTCAAGGGAATGGTGAACATTTTCATTAATTATTTTGGTTGATTAAATTTCCCAGCAACGAAGTTGGAAAGTTAATGAGGACGTTAAGAGTTATAGAAGGGAATCTACATGCATCTATAGGAAGAACTGCTCAATTACAACAGCTGTAGAGGAAATCCTTTATCCTTTATTCAGGTAAATGGAAAAACTGTGTTATAATAGGAAATGAAAAAAACTAAGAACACATGGAGAAAATGGGAGGAAGAAACTTTTTAAGATAAGGGCAATTCTTACGAAAAAAAAATCTTAAGAAAAAAAGCAAAAAACCCAATTCCAATATGTAGTTTGGTGTTGAATAAGTGAGGTTATAGAACAGCTTTTCCAATCCAATATCTTGTCAAAGGAATCTAGTGACATTAGGCAGCAGTAGTCTGAACTCTTCAACTCACAAGAGGGCCCTTCCAGTCTTTTTCAAATAGTATAAACATTCAAGAATAATGAAAATGTAAAGTGTTTTAAAAACATTTATATTCACTACATTTGAGGTTGGAATATGTAAAAATAAACTTTGAAAATAAACCGTAGTTACCTGTTTTAATGAAAGGATGCTTTGCTTGCCTCACTATAACAACATGCTTCTAAATTGTATAGCTGTATGGCACTCCAACTCCAAGCTCTGACTTTCTGGTTGGGCTCTTTGATGATGTCCCATGTGTGCACCAGCTACCTAAGTTCGCACAAACCTCTGTGAATCAAAACCACAGAAGTACATACAGCTTTACTTGCATCTCCGTCCCGTGCCAAATTCTGAATTTACGCCAGTGTAACTAATCACATTCACCAGTATATACCAACAGACTTGTTTTCACAGTAAAGTCTCCCTCCCAACCACACAAAATGGAAGTTTCTTCAGTTTTACTGTTAGCGTTAATTGTCACACTTGTTCTGCAATAATTCTTAGAACGTATAAAATATCATTATAAGAAGCGCTGACAACACATGGAACAAGCCAGAAGAGAATTAAATATGCTAATAATCCTATCTTAGTTTAGCATAACCTACAGCCAGATTAAGGCTAAGCATGAGCCTAAAAGTTTTTACTAGCAAAAAGTTAGAATGCTCAGCGCTGTGCACACCAATCGCTTATCTGAAGTCACTGATGGTGACAGCGGCTACATCAGTATTTTCACTGCCTGCAAAAATTGCAGATCACCTATCTTAAACAACTCCACAGCTCTCACTTTCACACATTCTAGAAAATTATAACATTGCTAAAAAAAAGTACACGCTAAGCCATTTCCGTATGCTGAGGGCATGGTTCTATCAGCTGCTTCCAAACCCACAAGTGTTTTTCCATTAATATTTTTTACGGATTTTCTGATACTGAAAATTGAATAAATGAAAGACAAGAAAAAGGGAAAGAGAAAATAGATGAAAGCTACTTTTAAGCAGAATATGTAAACAGAAATAAAGTGGTGGTTTGTTTTTTTTAACAACAGAATGTTACTAAAAGACAGGAGACAGATATTACACATGAAAATAAATCCTGAAGATTCTGAAGTGTACTGTATACTAAAAAACAATAGCAGCAATATAATTCTTTTATCACGCTAGCCTGAACAGTCCCAGCTTTCACCACCTGAGTAATAGCTAAGAAGCTCATAAAAATTCAGTTATTTAAAACTTTTTTGCCACAATAACACAATGTACTATGTGAATTAATTAAACGACTTCAATTATTCTACAAATGACCGAACAAAAATAAAACTTCCGAAATCTAACATAGTAATCCCATTATGAACTTGCCTCCTAGAAAGAAACTGATCTGAATAGCTGAGCTGAAGAAGTCGAGAATGCTAAAGTAACAGTAGAAAGTCAGCTAATGCTACAGTGAGGAATAAAACAAAAAGGTGTTGTGCTTTAGACATCTTCCCTTCTCAGGTCTTTACATCTAATGCCCTAACATCTGTAGTTTTGCTCCTGAAGTGCAAAGGGCATTTGGACACCACTCTCAGACATAGAGTTTGGGTAGCCCTAAGTGGAGCCAGGACTTGGATTCCATGATCCTTGTGAGTTCCTTGCAACTTGGGAGAATCCAGGATTCTACGGTGTGATCCCATGAAACCATGCTATTCCACCAAGGCAAAATTAGATGCTTATTCATGCTGTGGTTGGAAATAAAGAATAATTTAATAACTTTTTTGGAGCCACATTGCCTGGAAAAGGCAGATCCCCGCAATGCAGTAATCAGCAAATCAATGTGTGCTTTAATCTGATCCTGACAGAACTGATCTATTCAGACCACATTCCTGCCAAATAATTAATACTTCTTAATGCTTGTATCTAGCCACAAAGAAAGGTTCTTCCAAACACTGTACAATACTAACAAACGTCAAACAATTCCTACTCCCTTCCAACATTAGGCTAAATTTCCCATTTCACATATCATAAATAATTCAAGTTTCACTTTGGCATCCTCTTTATGGCTTATGCTATTTCATATTTGATACCTCTTAGTTCTTCTTTAAGCCTCCCTTTTTCTGGCCACCTTTCCTGTTCTCCATTTTCTCATTAAATTTTCTTATCAGTTTTCCAGTATATGAAAATTCAGAATGAAGAAAAGAACATGGTTTCCAGGTCTCTTCGGGTAGTTTTCCATCATCTGCAGCAACTTTAGAATACTGGCTCAAAAAAAGCATTGCCAGGTTTGTTCCGACTCCCTTGCAATGAACAGGGACATCTATAGTTTTATCAGGTTGCCCACAGCCTAGTCCAGCCTGATCTTTAATGTCACCAGGAACAAGGCACCCATCACATCTCTGGGCAACTTGTGCTTCCTTACCCTTATCATAAAAAAAACTTTTTCCTTTTATCTAGTCAAAATCTCCACCCTTTTAGTTAGAAACTATTTTTTGTCTGTCCTATTACAGCAGCCTTTGCTAAAGGGTCTGTTCCTGTCTTCCAAATAGCAACCCTTTGGATTCTGAAAGTCTGCTACCAGGTCTTCCCAAAACGTCATCTGGGCTGAACAGCCCTAAGTCTCTTGGTTTGCACTCACAGGGGAGGTGTTCCATCCCTTGAATCATTTTTGTTGCTTTCCACTAGACATGCCTCAATAACTCCACTTCTCTCCCGTCATGAAGACTCCACATCTGGATGCAGTACTTGAGGTAATGTCTCACCAGCACAGGGCAGAGGGGCAGGATCACCT